GGAGCAGACAGACAGGAAGCCAGGAGCAGACAGACAGGAAGCCAGGAGCAGACAGACAGGAAGCCAGGAGCAAGCAGACAGGAAGCCAGGAGCAAGCAGACAGGAAGCGAGGAGCAGACAGGAAGCGAGGAGCAAGCAGACAGGAAGCGAGGAGCAAGCAGACAGGAAGCGAGGAGCAGACAGACAGGAAGCGGGGAGCAAGCAGACAGGAAGCCAGAAGCAGACAGACAGGAAGCGACAGCCACGGGGATTCACAACCATCTATAGACGTCTGAGGTCAGGCTGCACGTCAATAACAGCCAATCATTCATGTTATCAGGGAAAAGGCTTTGGGAACAGGACGACATTTTCAAATTCTAACTTCCCAAAGAGCTCCCTCGGCCATTAGAGTGTAAGAGCACCCAGGCGGAGGTTCCCATGGGTGACAAACGGCAGCACAGAGCCTGTTTTGACTCTCTCACGTGTTACGGATGTTGAAAGGAAGCGGGTGGCGATAATTCCACGAGTCCCAGACGGGGCTGCAGTTGTACCATCGAGTGAGGTACTGGACCCAAATCGCTTAGCTATGCTAGGAGAGATGCCCTTTGTGTACCTGTCATGGAGGAAGAGGAGCGCAAGCTGTCGAACTCGGAGAGGTCCTCCTTGGATGTACCATTCAGCGTGTGGAAGGGGTCAAAGGTACCTGCAGGGGGCGTCCGTATGAATAATGTCACAAGATGACCTACTGCAGCCGTCAATAAACCTCACCATAAACTGTCAGTATGTTGTCTGGTTGGTCATGTGACTGAGGTGAACCTCTCTGCAGGTAAAAAGCCCCGGGGCCCCACATTGCTGGGTCCTAACGTCCCCCAGGGTTAATACCAGCTCTTGTAATGCTGCACTACCTCAATAATATCTGTCCAATGGAAGGTTCCGATCTTCACTCTAAGTAACTGTTTGTAACTGACGATAAAATATAATTTTGTTTGCCTGCCCCCCCTTTACCTGAGGCGGGGGCCTTGGGTCGGCTGGCGGGCACAGGTGCCCAGGGATCCGAGGCTGTGGCAGCGGGGGCCACCGGCGCCACCCAGGGGTCGATGCTCCTAGGAGGAGTGGCGGGGGTGGGGGACGAGGACGAAACCCAGGGGTCCACGGGGATGGCTGGCTTGGAGGCAGTGGCTGGAAGCGGATGAGGGGGGAGAGCTGAGCGCGGGCGGNCTGAAGGCCACAGACACCTGGCTTGACCCTCCACTCAGACCCCAAGCATTGCTGTCACTATGTGTGTGCGGATGTCTGGGGGGGGGGGGGGGGGGGGGGGCTCTCAGAATGAAAGTGCTCAAAGGAAACACGGTAAAGAACAAAGAAGCTCTGTGAGCAAGCGGAAGCCCATGCAACAGAGGCAGTTTGTACAGGGCGCTTGGGGTGGGGGGGGGCGGGGGAGTCAGACACCTCCCCTGGGAGGATGCGCTGCATCTCAGGCCCCAGGCCACAACCTTCCCACTGTGGGGACACACAGCGGCATTATGGGAAATGCGGCATACCGTGACGCATTTTAAGGAAGGGTTTGTTGTGCGTGTTGACGGAGGGGACAGGAATCCGCACGCATACAATGCATGGTCGCAGCTCGCCCACGAAACACCCAGCGGTGGAATTTTCCAGTCGTCCAGCCCATTACAGGACTGGTTCACCAGCATTTCTGGGAGCAGGGAAGACCAAGAGTTTATAGTCATCGCCAGGCAAACATCTCCTCGGGGCATCTTAGCTGACCACGCCCAATGAGCTCCTCCGATAGACCAGAAGCTGCGAGTGTACCGTTCAGAGACAAGCCAAAGGTGGGAGCAATTACAGGGGCTAGGGGGATTCCTTAAACCACCATTTACCCTGAAAACTAGGGATGTACCGATATCGATCCAGACATCGGGTATTGGGCTGATATTACAATCACTGTCCGATACAAACATCCGATACCTCTTAACTGCAACATTACATTAAAACTCAGTCACTGCATTTTTTTTGTGCTGCCCAATCAGATTTTGGGATCTAGCTACAGATTAGTCAACTGGAAACATTTGGGAAGGATAAATGCACAGAACACTGGCAATTTGGCAAGTATATGTGGAGGATGTCAGCAGTCTGTCATATTTTAAGATCAGGGACGACGGAAGTGAAGCAGACTGTAAGCTCTCTTCTGCTAGTGTCACGAGGAGGAAGAGGCAGGACGTCATTTAACACAAGCAATCTGATCAAACGTCTGAAGACGCACCACAGTGCAGAGTACACAGAGTTTGCTAATGTTGAATATGAACCTATACCACTCATCCTCATGGTAGACGAACACAAGGTACAAGCAGGGCTGTCGCTTTCATGCGTCACAATACGCATCTCAATCATATTTAAGGCACACTACTAAATTGCTTACCAAACTGTGGCCGTAAGTAAATGTCCATATAGTAGCAAAAAGACTGCATCTGGACAAATGTTTCGCCCATCATCTAAAGCCGATGATAACTCCTCATGCACCATATGATTATAATTACATTGTGAGATGATCGCGACAGCCCTAGGTGAAAGAAGTTCTACTTAAACACGATGGTGACGGACTGTGGGGGCCCCAACGTGAACACGTGTTGCCAGTATTATCACCGTCTGGGAATCTGGCTCCGCCCCATATAAAAACTGCCCAATCAGGAATGTGGAAATGCAGGCGCACACACCCTCGGCTGACGCACGGGTGCCATTCAGCGTTTGCTGGACATTCAGACAACGGAAAGACTGCAGTAAGTTGAAGGAGAGGCAAGTAGGTTATCACTGAGCAGCCAATGGCAGGCCTAAGCCAGCTGGGGGGGAGGAGCTATGGGGAGAGAGGGCGGGGCATCCAGTTTACCATAAGGCTGCCATGGGTCCACCGCGGCCTTTGCACTTGGGCCCGCCCAGGGATCTGACACGGGAGCTGGGGCGGAGGCTGCAGGCACGATGTCCATTAAATCCATCAGGGACGATTTGGGGGGCTGCAGTGTGGACAGGCAGGGCATCAATCACAGCACGACCACTTAGCGAGCCTCAACCACTAAGAAAACAGGAGAAGCCTGGAAATCTTTCTCTTTCGGAGGGAGAATTTAAATTAACCTACCAGTGAATATGAGGCGTTTCACTGAAGCTGCTTTTTACGTGATATAGAATTCCCAGCACAAATTCTCTACTTGAGGGGTTAGTAAGTGGGATTATGGGATGTCTGCCTATCACTCTTAATATGAGTTGATTCATGCCTGACCTAAACCCATTCTGACTTGAATGAAGTTCACATACCCGGAAAGTCGGCGGGGTGGGGGGGCAGGACCCCCCAGAGGTTTTTTACTCCCCGCCATTTCCTCATCCTGTTGTGTTCTGGCTTTTTCCAGCAACTTAAGTCTTTTTGAAAGTCTAACTTTTACTGCCTTTACTTCCATCTATGATCCTGGTCCTATCCTACTGGTAAAGCATTTTGGGGCCTAGACGATGCATTTGTAGTAACAGAATAAATTCCCACGGATCCACACAGCATTACTCTCAGCTCACCTCCTTCTTCACCACTTTAGTCGTGGTCGAGTCCTTGCGGCTCTCCTCTAGCGCCATCTGGAGCCGGAGGTCATCGCCACGCCTCATCCTCTCCTCCTGTAACAAGGGCAGTGGGTGCCACAATAGTTAAGGATCTGGAGACGGGGGAGGGGGGGGCTGAAGGCCTCAAGAGAAGGTCCTGAAGTGTATCGGGGCACATAGAAGCCTCATCAGTCTCCGCCTCAGCAGGCACGGCAGGAATGCTGCAAGTCTGCTCTTTCCAGCCAATCAACTTTCAAGATACAATGATGGATTAGGCAGGAATGAAAGGGTGAACAGTCACCTTGGCACCTCTCATGGGGAGAAACCTTAGCTGGGGGTGCATCTAAAACCCCAAGGGTATCCGCCCCCCCCCCAAAACCCCGGAATGGGAGTTTTCCTGCTAGAGCGCTGGGATCTGCTTCTTATTACGATTAGGAAACTCGTCCCAGATGCCTCACTGCACTCGCAGCCGGAGGGAGCCCCCCCCCTCTCTCTCCACCCTTCCTAAACCCCCACCCCCACGACGGTAAAGTGCAACGTGTGCGCCGAGGCAGCGGAAAAATTCTTAAGTGCTTCCTCACCTGCCCGCCAGCCGGCTTTATCGTTAACACAACACTTCCTGTATATACATGGTCCTTGACTGCCATCCAGAACGTCAACCTCCGCTTACACCAGCCTGGCGTGTCCCATTCCAACCAGTGCCCACAGTGTTGTGCCACCTGCCCCAGGGCTGCGCGCCCCCCTGGCACAGGGCACAACCTGCATCCATGGAGGAGATCTGCACAGAAGGGGCTGGGAAAAAAGCCCCATTGGGGCCGGCAATGCCTGAGAGTGGCGGGTTGGACCAGTTCGGCCCGATCTTGCAGTAAGAGGGGACCAGAGATTGGGCTCAGTGCCAGAAGCCTCTGCTCCCAACTTCCACTGGATCAGCTTTACTGCTGAGCAAAGCCCTTAACCTGAACGCTGTTATATATAGATTTTAAAATACAGTGCTATATATGTCTCAGCGGGTTAGGGCTCCGCGGCGGTGATCGGAAAGTCACCGGTTCGAATCCCAAGCTTGGCACAGTCAGGTCAGATTTCCGCTGGGACCCTTAACCCCTGAAACACTCTGAAGGCCACAGACACCTGGCTTGACCCTCCACTCAGACCCCAAGCATTGCTGTCACTATGTGTGTGCGGATGTCTGGGGGGGGGGGGGGGGGGCATTCCAACTATCATATTCATACAAATAGCAAATAAGACTTAATTTTGTCTGAAATGCAGATGTCTGACTTTGATGCAGATGTTGATCTGTTAACAGTTCAGAAGAGTACAATACATATTGAGCCACTAGCAAAGCACATAAACCAGTTAATCTACAAAAAACAAACAACTGTTGAGTTTGCTTACGTACTAACAGGTGAATGGGGCGGAGGCGCTCAGACACGAACACACAAACGTACAGGTGCTGTAAGCGATGGCGGTACTGAGCAGGTACTGAGCAGGTGCAGGCGGGCGGGTACCTGCTCGGCCGCCTCGCGGCTCATGGCCAGCGCCAGCTGCAGCTGCAGCTCCTCCTCGCCGCTCGTCTGCGGCCGCGCCTGCTCCAGCTCCGAGGACGCGTTGGGGGACGTGGCTGGAGGGAGAGAGACAGGGTAGTCGGTCCGTGGACGGGCCAGCAGGTGACTGGAGCGGGCCCCGAACCCGAACCGGGGGGTCCCGGGAGGCAGCGGGCAGTTTATAACTAACACACGTGATGGTCCTGCCGTTGAGTCAGTCACGCGAAGAGCGGTGCGATTTCACAGGGGCCACTGGCCCGGAAACAGGCCCTTGGCGAGAGTCCAGCCCATTTCCCCCACCAGAGTCGACCAGGAGACCAGCACAGCCTGAAGCACAACTGTGGTTTATATTCCAGGATGACTACACCCAAGAATGCGGCCGTCTTAAGGCTATCAAAATACCAGTTCATTTACTGGCCGAGTGCATGCGACGGAGACGTCGACGGCAGACATCGAAGAAACTGAAGCGGTATTGAGCACGCAGACCTGAACACTGTCTGCAAGGGGCCAGGGATGCTGAACGCTGAAGGGCGAAGTAGCTATAGCAACAGAGTCCGCTTCCTAGGCGACCCAGGGAGGGACAGGGGCCTGACGTTGAGGCGGCGGCAGCGTTTATCGCCACCCAAACCGCAAATTAGCATCGGGCTGCCAAGGTTTCAGGCCACAGAGTCACTATACTGGGGGCGCGTAAAGTAGCCGTTTGAGTGGGACCCCAGAAACAAGAAACTCAGCCCTGCATGGAGGTGGGGGCAGGAAAGGACAGAGCCAACGAGCCGATGGGGTTTGTACGTCGTGTTTATACCCCCAACCAAGTGTAAAACTGTACCTGCAGGAGCAACACCCCACCCACTCCCACGGCCACAAAAAGCCAACATTCCTGGAAGGGTTCATTTTCATCGCATGCCCCCACCCCCCCCACTACCGCCCCACTTAAGTGTAAACAAACTTTAATGAGTGGCATTTACCAAAACTTTCCAATCTACGTGCGTATTTTCCATAATTAAGCCGCAGCGTCACTGAATGGCGCGATATGAGCCGCGTCAGACTTTCTGTCCCCGAGCGAGACACCATCTGTCTCTCCTGTGCCGACATGCAGGGGGGGGGAGGGGGGGGGTTCCACATGACGAGGACCGTTCACACTACGCACGAGGCCGTGTTCTACTTGGTTGAGACTGGCGGCAACAATTAAGAAAAATATATTACATGTTAGGCTGTTATGTCTCACTAATGAGAAGCTCATTTCCCTGCGAGGTCACAAACTCCCTTTGCCAGACTCGTATGAAGACCATGAAGGTGTCCTACAAAGACCTGGAACTCAACCGTGGGTTCGCCCATCAGCCTAGACAATTTGCTGGACTCCAACTTCCTAATGATTTTTAAGTGGGGGGGGGGGGCTTTGGTTATAAGAAAAGTAGCTGAAGGTGCTCGGTCCACCAATGCTGCACTGAGAGATGCACCCTGCTGGGATTCTGTTGAAAATCAAGATATCAGCATCAGTCCGACGTGTCGATCTTGACTGATATTGCCGGCTGTTAACCAACGACTAAAGGCAATATTTAGAGCAGCACCAGAGCTAAAAAACCACTAAAATAATGAAGATAATTGCATGGACACTCATCCATGTTCCATAGTGAAGGATGAGGGATTCCATCAGTTCAGTCCCCATTTAGAACCTCGTCACAGAACCCCAGCTAGCGCCGGTTCTCCGACATCTCAGGGCCTGCATTACATGATGTGGTCGGTACGTTACTTCGTAAGATCCCGTGAACACATCACCGACGTCAGTTTCACTACAGATTAGCCGAGTTCAGTGGTTCGCTGGTTATTATAAATTGTGCTAGATATTTCTAGTGTGAAATTACTAAGAATACAAAAACATAATTTTCCACTGCCAGAAGAGGTGCACCATAATAAGGATGAACCACCCCTCCCCAGCAAACATAGACTCAAGACGCCAGAGTGGCCCCCAGCTCAACACAGTCGGAAACGGCTGACATCACGGACAGGAAAATGCTGACAGGAGTCCCTGGGGCTTCAGCAAGAATGACAGTGACATTCTACTACCCAGTCATAACAGTTCCCCACCTACCCCCACGCAAATCAGCTGTACCTCCACCGTGGCGAGGAGCAGCGCAGACGCAGGTATGCACACACAGTGAGTCAGAGATGAGTGTCGAATACGGCATGCGAGCGCCGCCCCGAAGCGGCCAATGGCATCCTATAGCAGCACGCCTGTCCCTCAAATTAATTAACTCCACCAACTTTATAATTATAGAACAAAAGCTACAGCTGGCTGAGCTGTTGACCCTGCCTCGGGACCAAATCGGAATGAAAACACGGTTAAGGGAGGGGGAAAAAAAAAAACCTGCATTGTGCTTTCCTGAAAGAACAATAAGAGGAAACCTCCAGTGGAATGTGAAGAATTCCAACGTCGCCCCCCAAGTTGGCCTTGCCCCCCCCCCCCCCTTCAGTTTGATAATGAATCATCCTTTTCTGGGGCAGTGCCTACATTTATGAGAAGAGACCACACACACACACACCCCCAACCAGGCTACACTGCCCCAGCCCCAAAATAAACAGCAGAGGGCGGGGGTGACTGCGAGACTGCGTGGGACAGGCGACAGGTCACACCACAGAGCTGCTTGACTCATGCCTCAGGCTTAATGGCTGCCAGATCGGATCCCTCTACAACAATCACCCATTTAATGACGCGACCTTAAGTCCCAGTTTAGCAACACTATAGTCGCTATTTCATAAGATTATTTGCACAGGCCCCAAAGCCGGCTGTTCTAGTACATGTATAGGTCTACATACTTATTTGCATATTTTCATATATCTGCATAAATTTTACTTTTATCATTTTGTTTTACGGTATCACGTTATAGTTGCCTTGATTGCAATTCCTTGTTTTGCAGCCCGAAGTAAATTATCATATGCAAAAGTATTTGGTGATGATCAAACGATTTTGATTCCACAGTCAATCAAACGATTTTGATTCCACAGTCAATCAAACGATTTTGATTCCACAGTCAGTTCTTGCTTTCCAAGCTCCTGATTTATGAGCTTAAATCTTTGAGAATTTTCTGCAGCAAAAACTTCGTTTCACAACTTTTGAAAAATTTGCACACTGCCCAAAAACGGCATCCATGGACTGACAGTTTTCAGATAACTTCTTAATGTGAAATATTAGTCATTTATTAATCATTTTTATGGGGAAAATAGAACACGCTTTACGAGTTCTTGATTAACGAGCGATAATTTGGAACGAATTATCGATAACCACCTGTATTTGTTACTCATACTTTTGTCTTGATTGTATATTTAACTGGGTGTCAGGGCATGACCTGCACCAAAACAAATTTGTACTCCACATTTGAAAATACCCTGATTTGTATTACATTTACCATAAGAATTCTGAAAAGCTAAGTTGACGGAAACTTTGAGAACCGGCACTAATCTTAAAATGCATCATCAATTTATAACAAATTCTTCGTGGCATGGAAACTAAGCTCATAAGACAGCGAGCTGGAAGGGAGTGTGGGCTTCTGGGGGAATCAGTCACCAGGCTGACAGAAAAAGCTACAGCGACAGCAAGACAATCATTCAGTGCTGGAAATTTGGAGCATACATGTGCTGTAAATCACCCAAATTCTGGCAAGGTTTGATGTTGAAACACACGAAAAGCAACCCGTGAAATGTCCGTCTTTGACTTTCACTTTCTGTATCGCTTGCTGGCCGCTCGAGTACCCCGTGCAGGAAGACCGGCATAAAAACTGACAACTGACATTTCACACATTTAGTGAGGCAAACGGCACACTGCAAAAAAATAAATCATGCTGTCAAGGCACGAAGTAGGAATAAGAATGGCTAGGCTGAGCTAAGGATGAATGCCCAGGTACGAGTAAATCTAAATGTATCATTGAATTTTAGGTTTCAGACCAACAAAGCAGTAATAATAATTAATTATTACTACAGAAATACAAGACTTGCATTCTGTAAACCACAACATAACAGTAAAAGATATACAGAAACTTTACAGACACCCCCCCAGACACGGTTAGTGTCACTGTGACTTCACCCCGCCAGCCCAAGCTTGCCGGCACTCGCACGACAGTCACACACACTTTACATTTTCTACGCACTATGAAAATGGCCAAAGTCACTGAGTGAGACTGATTCGCTAATCTTTCAGCGGAGACTTTCAGGAAGTGCTCCCTCCCTCCGGACAGACTCCCTGCAGCCCCTCTTAGAGGCCGACACACGGGAAACAAGCCTGCTGGGTGTGTGTGTGGGGGGGGGAGACACGGGAGGTTAGGGGGAGCAGAGCATGTCCTCTCAAGAGGCATGTCAGCTGGGAAAAATCTGGAATGTTGCTGCATTCCTGCTGCTGGTGTGTGTGTGTGTGTGGGGGGGGGGATCAAAACTCTCAGCTTTCAGTGGGCAACCAATCAAATCCACCTAACGGCCCGGAGCTGTTCACGCAGGCCTGTGGGTGTAGCATACAGTACCTGTGTGTGTGTGTGTGTGTGTGTGGGCTCCGTTGCCATTTCAGCAAACAGGGCGACGCCCCCAGCGGAAGATGTGAATGCCGCCGTGCAGGAACCACGCTAACGAGGAAACGCTAATGGACTTCCAGCAAAGCAAGTCATGACAGCTCATATCCTGCCAAGCTTAGGGGTCACAGCCAAATGAAAGATTCGAAGGAGCAAAACACTGAACCGCAAATCTACATCTCTGAAAGATCCATGAATGTCGATGGGGGGGGGGGGGGGGGGGGCCGACCGGCCGCCGGTACAAGGCACTCACAGCCATGGTAGGAGGCGGGCGAGCCTTCTGAGCGGCCGTATTCCTCCGAGTGACTGGTAGACAGGTTGGGCTGACTGGAGCCGCGGCCGAATCCGGATGGGCCGCTCCCTACGCTGGTGGCCACCTGCGCCATGCGCTCCTTGGTCTTCAGCGCCTGCGAACGCTCGCCCTTCAGCCGCTCGTCATCCTTGAGCAGCGTCACCAGCTGCTTGGACTTCTCGCGCACGTTGATGCCCTGGTCCTTGCCGTCCCGGTCCACGTACTGGAAGTCCTTCAGCGTCTGGATGGCGAAGATGTTCTCGCGGCACTGCAGGGCCACGCGCTCCGAGCCGGTCTTCACCAGGTAGTCCAGCAGCGTCAGCGCCTTGTAGACATGCCGCCAGTTCTTGCCGTGGTCATTGAGTCGCCTCCAGATCATGGTCATGATCTCGGAGAAGGCCACCACGTTGTAGGTGAGGTCGGCGATCTCTGACATCAGCGAGCTGGATGGGCCCCACGGGTCGTTGGAGGTGGCCTCACGCACCTTCTTCTCCGCGTCCGTGTAGTTGTTGACCACGTTCTTCATCTGCCTCCGGATGGTTGAGCTCGGCATGGTTGCACTTACCAGCAATGCTCTTAAGGTAGAAAGTCAGACGTCTCAAGGGTTTGTTTCGAGGAGGGGGGGGGGGGGGGAAGAGCGTTTATATTACAATGTTGTCGTCAGAAGAATCTTGTTTTAAATCCCCTTTGTTTTTCCAAATGCTTTATAGCTATATTCCGGGGTTGTCTTGGCTGGGGCTTGTCAAGAACATTTCCACACAGAAAAGTGCAGGGATATGGCAAATTCCTCCATTACCTGCAAGACAGCAGAACAAAATAGAACAGTACAGAACGTCAGAACAGATTAATATAACAGGAAGCTGAAAAAGCAAAGGGACCATGTCATTAAAAGGAAGCATCTCTTATGCTTTCACCCCCGAGACTATTAGGAGAAACTGCTCTGACCAGTGCTGCTGCCAGGCAACAAAGTCTCCTTTATGAAGGAAGGATGAAGTAATAATTCAACTGCCTGCCTTACCTGAAACCCAACGACTGGCAAAACACGCTACTGAAACCGTGGAGTTGAACAAAACGGACGAAGGAACAAGACAGCAAGACAGATCAGTACCGCGTCTCTTGATTTTTACCAAATTCTCTCTTCTCTTTTTTTTCCTTTTTATTATTATTCTTACTAAATTCTCGATCGTCAAAATGATCCCGGCAGCTAGATAGAAGAGGCGACGGGTCACAGCCTGCTTACCACCGGGAGCGCACGGCGTATTCCAGCTCTGACACCCAAAGCACTACATCGAGTAATCTCCAGAGTCTCCAGCTAGAATCTCAAACAAGAGGCTACGCTACCTCAGTCTTAGCAAGTCTACGGTGTGCGTGCATGACAAACATGCGACATGCCACCAAACCGTGGTGGAGACGGGCTGAACGAGGGGTACGACTGGAGTTAGCAGTAGCTGATACTCACAACGCCCACATACAGGGGCTTCCAACCAATAGATGACACTGCGTTGTACTTCAAGAGCTTGTGGACAAAGGCAGCCACGGTCCACTTCAGATAAGCGACGATTTAGACGCTAAATGACCAACTGTTTCCATGAGTAAAAACTCAACACCTTTTATGCGGACAGAAGGGAAAATAATATTCAGAGAATGACAGATACAAATAGCACCTTGCAGAATGTGAACACTAACGAAATACTTACAATTAAGTATACATTTAGTAATCGCCGCAAAAACATGCTGTAACTCACAGGTGATATTTAAGTAGTACTCTACATTACTGAAATGAAAAATGACCAACTTGGTCACATCCTAAATCAGAGCATGATTCCCGAGAACAGCTATTTAAATGAAACAACTGCTCAAATCTGTCCTAAGCAAATTCCAATGCAAAGCAGATGTGATTTTACATACAGGGCTTGGTCTCGACGGTGACGGTGGTGATTTTTTTGGTCATTAGCTGCACCACCTTTCACTCATCTAACACCACAATGCAATCAAAGCTGATAAACCAGCTGACAGCATGTGATGCTTTGGGGCTCATTCATTCTTAAAGTGACAAGAAGCTAAAAGCAACCCACGGTGACAGTTACTATAGTAACTGAATCCGCTCCAGTACACATGAAACCAACATCCGTCATCGTGTGACTGATCTATTCACTCAGCAGGCTGCTCTTGAACCTGCACACCGTCTACTCCGGCTGACCATTTCAGTCACCAGCATGACAGAAAGCTCATAGGTGAAAGACTTAAAGCAAAACACTCATTCGATTCTTACAGTTGTAGGCTTTTCATGCGACTGCAGCAGTTGCATTTACAAACTGCGCCATCACAGGTCTCCCATCTGGACCACCAACACGAACTCCGCCCGATTAGCAGAACCTGTGGCCTGTACTGCGAAGCAGGGTTACTGGCTTATCGGGGTAACTTGTTGGATTTAAGGTACCACAGTTTAAATGGACTTCATATTCGTTCACATTCGTTCATTTTGCCCAGACTACCTTAAATCCGACAAGTTACCCCGATAAGACAGTAATCTTGCTTCGTAGTACAGGCTGCCGAACACCTTCTAAACTCTTAGTAACTGTTCTCTGCTTTGGGGTTCAAACCACATCCCTAGTCTTATCACACGCCTACACCAGCTAGCTAATGATCTTTCCTTGCATTTACTAGAATTCGCTTTAAATTTACATTGACAGATACACATGCATTAGTATTCCATGTAATCCCTGACCACAAGCAGCGATCCTTAACCGCTATACCACCTGCTGTCTCTGTGCTGCCCCCCCACCCCCACCCCCACCCCATGACACTCGGGGCCAGTCTTCCCAGGTCCAGCAGACCCTCTGAAGCTGTGTGGAGGCAGCACTTCCTGTTCTCCTGAACAGGGGCCAGAGGAAGGGGGGGGGCAGGAGTCCACAAAACAACTTGGCACAGACCGTAAATTCATTAAAAGGCCCTGAAATGTGACTCCTTGTGTCCTGCGGGGTGACCATAGTGCTCCCCCCCCTTCCAGACCAACCGCTGCCCCCACCCCACATCAGGAGCCAGCATACACATGAATACTGAGGGGCCTTAATGAAACATCTGCTGCTTTAATCACTCATTCAGGTCCCACCGTGCAAGAGGAAGACAGGGCCGACTCTCACAGGCCTGGCTCTCACCCCTGCCAGGCCAATAGGGAGTCAATGAAACCCAAACACCAACGTGCTATAATTCACAACCTGCGCATGGAGTCACATTGGTAGGACCCAAACACGGATTCAAACAGTGCCACCTGTCTCCAGAAAGTGGGCACTACACAGAGGTAGAGTCCCCAAGCCCTGATTGGAATATTCAGAAGCGGGTCTTCAGGAATAGGCCAGAAACTTCAGCCACGAGATCCGGCCTCCCCTTCTCCCAGCAACGTTCAGCATCCGTATGGCAAACGGGATTTCCGTCCGATCGGACTAGCTGCTTTAGGTTGCCGAGGATAAAATTTGAAGCCGCGTGCATGGAGGAAAGAGGAGGTGATAATCACAGAGAAGGACATAGTGAGCTCAGCGCTCAAAACCGCTGTGCAAGTCAAGTCTGACAGGAATGGCCCCAATGAGCATTTTAACAGCACTTCCTGAACAGCAGGTGACCGACGTGTTTAGTGCAGGAATGCCGCAAAGTTGCTGTAATCAAGATTCTAGTTAATCAAACAACTAACATCGACTGAGTATAACCATGATACTTGAAATGGTAACCATTAAGCAGAAGATAAAATGCAGCTTGGTGACTATGAAACCTAATAGTGATCCTGAGCAAAAAACATTTAAGGAATCTACAAAGATTTCTCCTGGAAAATTATTTGGGATATGAAGCTTGCCATTTACGCCTCCCCACCCCACCACAATAAACAGGTTGAGATTTTTCTTCTGCCAAAAGGACTTTTAAATAAGGATATCGGGAAACAGCAAAAAAAATCTCCCGGATTAAAACGACATCAAACCATGTCATACCTCTATGTGAAACAGCTGGAGGAATGATCCACTTCATCATGTTTACAGAAAACAAGGTCTAAGTGTGTTGGCATATTTAATAGATTTCACCGTTTGTAACAGTTACAAACCTGACTAAGTGCCAGGGGACTCAGAGCGAACATGCATATGCAGTAGGAAATATCTGAAAGGGTATCAGATGAAGTTACTGGATACGGCATCAGCCCACGATAGTATAGGCAAAGCTGACCAGGCGTGGGTCATAGCAGCTGCCTGCCCCCTAACACACACACCTAAAGGTTGTAGGAGGTGACCCTCCTTATCAAGGCTAAACATAGGACATCAAAGACACAAGAGATGTTTCAGAAACATCCGCGGCCCTTGTTCTTAACTCCATGTCACCGAGTTCATACGGGCAGAGAATTTCGGCACTAGGACGACAGAAAAATCTCTCCCACGGGTTTCAGACCACAAACAGCTAAGCATCTACATGAAAAACTGCTCCTGTGATGTAACCCATCATCTGCAAGAAGGGGGTGAACCTTCAAAGGGCTGAAGTAATTTCTCAACCGCAGGAACAGAAATTAGTGCATATAAACTAATTATAATTTTAAAAAGTCGTCGATCTTTTGATGGTGAGCCTGATCTCAGAAGATCAGCAGAAATGTATCCACTGCAAGCAGAGGTGAATATCGATAAACTACAAATGTGTTAACTAAAATACACCATGCAAGTTCCCATCCTAACCATCTTAACATCTACAACCCTAAACCACTAACCTGCTTCTTTACCAAAGTTAAAACTTATTTAATAGAATGTACATTTAAAAAAAAAAAAACACCCAGAACTCACAGCCTTTCACACTCTTGGTGAGAACGAGATGCAAACTATAACCACAAAGTCACTCTTCCTCATTTTTTACTACATCAGACTACATATAAAACACTGACTGCACTGATGCAGATGATGAACGAAAATATGGAAGACCATATGAACGCCAACAAAATCAGAGCTTGCCAATGTGCAGTTTACTGGCCAGGCCGGTAATACTACTGTATTCATAAAAAATAAAATAAATAAATAAAAACTGCACTGAAACACTAAAAGCAGAATTGCCAACAGACGACACCTCTCCAATGAGACACCAAAACCTGAACATGAGCATGTAACGTACAGCAAAACCATAAAAGGGTCATCTTTCTGACAGCCCAAGCATGGGAGCAAATGGACCCCGCGCCGAGATCAGCGAGGCAAACAGGATGCAATTTCGGCTGCCACACCTCAGCTGGGAACCACCACCCACCCCACTGGGTAAGACAGGTGTCAGGTGTGTCCAACACCCATCTACCGGGGCCACCAGCCAGCGGACACTCTGACATTCAAAACGTCAAAGCACGGTCCGCAAACAAAACCACCCAGGAGCTGTGGGAACGACCTCAAGGGTACGGTTGACCCACATATAGATAAACCACAGCTTACATAACAAGAGCCACCTTGCTGGCACCACCAACTAGGGGCGACCCAGCCGGTTTTTTTCCCCACAAAGGTCCGGCTCCCTCGAAATGTGGAGAAGAGGTAAATAAAAAAGATCTCCAGCCGGATTTTGCTTTCCAAGACCACGCCGAAGGAGCGGATGCACAGATCATGAAGTGTTAATGTGATTTCGTGTGCGGGGAGTAATCTCTCCAGCCCAAACCCAAACCCAACCCCCACCGGCCGGAAAGTGACAACAAAGAGCCTCACAGTAAATTCAATGAGTGCGGGGCGCATCCAGGAGCGCTGCCCGGCGTGCAGTGCAAAGGCACCGGGGCGCCCAGCTGGACCCCAAACCCGACAGCCGCCTTTTGCTTCATTGTCCTAAGTCCACAGAGGGTCTCCGTAGACAAAGCGCCAGGGCACTAGGGGGGGTCAAACACGGACGAGACAATGGATGCTGCTCCCCAACCCCACCCGGAACCAGAGAAAGACCGGGGTACGACACGGGGCGGCCAGGCGGAGACCCAGGCCGGGGCGGTGGTTGGTGCCGGAGGAGCAACCGGTTGACAAGGCTGAGCCCACGGTGCGGGTACCGGCACTAAAGTTACCCCGAGGTGTAACTTCACAAGAAGGGGTCACGGAGAGGTGACGGAACCCCGGAGTAAAAAGCAAGGGAAAAAAGTTACGGGCAGTTACTCAAACGTCGCTAATTCTCTACATGCAAGCATTTAAATCAAAAGTTAGAGATTCCAGCCGCTTAGCATAAAGCGCAGCGCCGGGCGTTAGCAGGGAAGCTAACGGGGAGCGAGGCGCCGGAGGCGCGGGGAGAGGCCGCGTCGGGGGGCGCGCAGCGCCGTTTGCAGCCTTCGGGGCTAAACCACCGACGTCGCCGGGGCTCCAAACGCTGCTCGTTGGCTAGGAGCAGCCTGCCGGGAGGGGGAAAAAGTTGGACAGTCGCACTTTTGCCGATAGTTCCGGCGGCCGAAGCGGGGGGGGTGAGGCGAGCAATCTGTTGAATACCGCTCCGTACCAACTTGCTAGGTCGCTAACTAATCCGGAGCGGCTTACCGCCGGCGCCCGGCTGGCTCTCCTCCCCGGGAAGCCGGAGTATCACCAGGCCGCTGGCGCTCTCCCCGTTCCCCGTAGAGGTGGCCGAAATAGCCAGTATTTCCCGGTAAGGAAACGCCAGCGCACCGGGGCGGACGAGTCCCCCCCCAAAAAAAAAAAACCCCCAGGAGGAAATGAATAACTTACCAGTGCGCTCCACTCGAGGCGGGGGCACTCCTCACTGCTGAAATACGAGCCATAACTTTTGGCTTTAGCTTGCAATGCAACTACAGAAAATAACGTGGGCGAACTTGAAGGCGTGGGTCTTGTTTTGGGGGCTTCAGATGTGAAAGTGAGAGCAGCGTGTCGCGGCCGGCCGAGCTTCCCCGCACGTCTCCCTGATCCTCCGCACACTCCTCGGTGTGACACCCACACAATCCAACATGGCGCACCGACGGACGCTCTTTCGGGGAGGGGCGGGCGGCCAAGGGTGTGATCAATCCACTGCCTTGCCGAGCGAATAACAACAGTGATAATAAATCTATGATCGTAATTATTTCACTGTATATCCCTTTAAAACGCTGCCGAACGAGCAGCCCAGCCTGCGACTTTGACCCTCTCCCCCTATGAGTTTGTAAAACGCACAGATATAGGAGAACGCCACGTTTTTCAGTGCCAGGCAAAAAAATCCCAAACGTACAGCTCCTCGAAGGATCTGGAGACTACAGGGATCTTTTCAAATTACAGAAAAAATACGTAATGTCTTTCTTACATGTGACAGAATACAGTGGCGCCCATACAAATGCAATACAAATGATTGAGTTGTCATATTATACCCATATTACATACAACTTCCATTCTTTGTGTGAAATGATCCAACACCAAGTTGCAGGAATATTACTTCTTCGCTCCGCCCCTAAGCTCTCTCACCTGTTATGCTCTAAGTTGACATAAAATTATTATATATTACATTTGCAACTGAAATAAACACTAACACTATGCTTATTCATGAACTTGATCTGGTGCCCGCTGTGAGCTAGCAATACTTATGGGAAATATTCATAAATTTCGCCAGATCAAAGGGTGTCAAGGGGGGTTGGGGTTACACAATATCCGTTGTGTCCCAATGCGAGCCACTGGATCGGAGTCCACTTATGCAGGCATTTCTATTTCCACGGTGCAAACACGCCCTTTGAAGACATACGCTATAGTCACTGTTACGTGAAACATTCTTTTGTACAATAGAACAAACAAAGCTTCTAACTGGGTCTGAACGAAGGTCCAAAAATAAGGTCCAAAACTTCCGGAGTGAAAAGTATTTGCAATATTGACAATTTAGTATTCAAGCTTAACCGTATTGAAATGGTTCTCATTAATTATTTGAATGTGCCATATTTTATTATAAAATGAATAAGATACAATTACGTAATGCGTCATAAATTAGATAAAAAAGGAATTTAAACATACGAAGGAGTGCTCAGGGAGTGTGTTAGCAAGCTATGGATTAGCTAAAAAAAGATTAATGCAAGCTGATTTACGCGTGTGTACTTACTACCCCCTAATGTTAATTTTGCACCATAATAATTAAAGCGTAAAGTACGTCAGGTACTAAGATCTATCATTTACTGAAATGAGATTGCAATAATTTTGTTATAGTTTTCTTATCTGACGACGGTCAGTGTTTAATCCTATTCGGGTGGAGTCTCTCAATACAAGAGGCTATTTTTTCAAATATCTAAAAGACCTTTTAAATGCCTACCTTTAGGGGGCAGCCTTGTGTATAGTTTAGGTATTCATCTATCCATCGTCCAGCTGCTTCTTCCAGTCAGGGTTGTAATGGGTCCTGGAGCGGACCACAAACACTACAGGGCATAAGGCTGAGATACACCCTCGACGGGATGCCATCCGTCACAGGGCACATACATGCAAGCATACCTGAAGGACAAATGGTATAATAAAATTTATGATTTCAGCAAAACCGTATTTTCTAGTGTATCACGGGCACAAGAAGACACCCAAAATCCAACATATAAAAATGCAATACTGACATAGTCATGATAAACAAATACATTTATTTTGGATAATTATATTCGCAATAGGATTGCAAAAAATACTGCTAATATGTATTTCCTTTTCTATAATTGTTGGGAAGTTGACTGAGCTCTTTTGTAACATCATTTAAAGCAGTGATCATACATGCATTCATAATGCATCATAATGCATTCAGATGGGATTAAGTATTATAAATGTCTTATACAATATATTATATATGGCTTATACTGACCTTTATAATGCATTATCAAGGTATATATAGTGCATTATACATGAGAGCTTCATATAGCATTTATAATGCATCATAAACATGGCTATAATGTGTAACGCCTGTTCATAAATAGTTCATAAATAGTTATAGCTACAGTAAGAATTCAACAATTAACAATTAAGTTAAAATGTATTTGACTGTTCAGGGGCATTGCAGAGGGCAAATTCGGGCCCAGTAATGTTGTTATGGTACCCTCACAACAATAATTACACAATTTATTTATAAATTTAAATGTTTAGATTTACATGCTCTGGATATGAGATTCCGAAGGTGGAAATATGGGTAACTTGGCTATGGTTGCGATGTCAGCTGTGAAGGTTACCTAGCAAGACTTCCCTGGAGAAGAGATATACATTGAGCTGACAACAGTTCCTTAGACCCTTGAGACATTTCAAGGAATAGTCAGGTGGCTGCTTCTGATTGGCTGATGGGAGGGGGGGTCTGAGTGACATGTCACAATCCTCTATCCCCGAGGCACATGGGTAAACAATGGAGGACTTATTGTTCTGTCATGTTTCCTTCCAATTTACTACATAAATGGCAAAATGCAATTATTTACTTGCTAGCATTCATTGTATTGTAAGAATTTTGACTAGCTTCCAGCCTTTTTTTGTCATTGTTAAAGGAGGGGGGGTGGCCTCATGTCTAATAAATGCTAATAATTGTACAAAAAACATTGTAAATTGCAGAATAATCAAACACAGTTGCGGGAAAACACATGCGGAACCCGAGGAAAGCATCAGCCTAATCAAAGAACCATATCAAAAGAACCACAAAAAGACACCAATGGGAACCAAAACCTTAACCGGAAGACACACACAGTCCTGCCTGATTAATTTTCAAGAAAATTTCCTGATATTTCAAACACCCTGATAAGCAGAACAGCAGCTGTGCGATGTGAAATATGCTCATGAATTGTTTCCCTGGCAAAGACACTTCCTACTAACACAGCGCACTGTTCCATCTGAAATGAACTCAAATAGGCACGACCAACATGAGTCTGGATACGTTCGCAGTGTCCCAGGAAAGAGTCATGTGACCACACACCAGAGACTACTGATTGGCCCATTTTCCTGACATACAGGCAGCAGCGCCAGCCCATCTCTTTGCAAACGTAGGGTTCGTGGGAAGAAACAGAAGTCCACAGTTATTCGTAGGATTTTGTAAAACAGTCAATATAAGTTACAGTTTGCGATGTAATTTCCTCTATCAGCATTCACCCTACCTGCCTAGGTCCATACCCAAGCTGAGAAGCACATATTTTACTTGGCCTGAGAATCTGACCAGCTACCAGGCCACTCGACATACCTTGGGATGTGGCTGCACATGAATTAATTTGCTCAGCCTGGCAGGAAGTCTTCAGGTGAATGTTTGACCCTATGTCCATTGCTTTGTATTGTCTGCCTATTCGCAGGGAGGTGCCCCAGAGTTGCAGGGGCTTTAGATCATTTGAAACATAATTTGATTGGCCTGGGTTGGGGGTCCAATATGGTACACTTTCATGAGCCCGAAATCCCAAGCTGTGTCCCAGCCTGGGCACCACAAATGTATGTTAGATGGAGAGACTATGGAAAACACTAGGATCAGACTCAGAGGACCTGTTTTTTAAAAAAAAAAACTACAGAATGTGCTGTAATTTCTTAAGCAGTAATACAGAAGCCTGTTTTGGTGATATATAGATGAACGATTACGGTCTAGTTTCTATGACGTGAACGTTACAACAGCTGCGACAAAATGTAATACACACGTTGCCCAGCAGGTGGCAGCAAGACACATCGTTATCAAGGTGTGAGGTTACTGACAGACGTGACCTTGAAAACCTCAGCATGCAAGACCAAGTGAGTCATTAGCCGAATTAATGTATGTGAGAAAAGGCAGGCGCTTGGATTTATGGTATAATAACCTGGCTTTCCAGGTCTCATATCTGCTCTTAAAATTTATAAACATATTATTTAACAATCTACTCATTCGATTGAGCAAATCTTTTAAATACATTTCAGCAAATTACAAGATATACCTCAAGAATATTAACTGCAAGATTTATTGGCGAAACAAAGCAAAATTAAAGAAACAAGGTTCAGGATGGTGCTTTTGGGAAGGTCCATACTATCCTGTCTTAATACTAATTAGTCAGGGAATCTAAGTCCTCCACCATCTAGATGCGATCCTGCCAGAAGGCAGTTTTTTTTATATATATATATATATATAAACAAACACACTTTAGTGTTTGGATTACTCAGGTTATGAAGGAGTGTACCCGCAATTTCCGCTATACCTTAATTATTTCCGAGGCAGTTATGGTCACCTTTTGGGGAAACTGAAGATCTCTCATCACTAATCAACAATTATCCTCACACTTGCAGAACTGCCCTGTTTTTCTTGCTGTAGATGACTGGTATACATTTCACATGAAAATAACAGTATATATAATACATGAGGTAAATTAACAGACTATGTAAATGATACTGAAATTTTAATGTGTATTAAGATATATTTAGCACGGCAATAAGTGTTATTTTGATATTTGATATATAAATCAAAAGCGTACGTCCTCTAATACGATTCACCGGAATATATACTGCAGTGTTTGTCTACTCAGTCTAAGAGGACCCTAAGATTTTTGCTCCCTCCCAGTCCAACACGACTGAGCTAAACTATCAAGCAATCAAGAAAACCGAAAACCTGATGCAGTTTTGTTGGGATTTGGGAGGCAACAAAAACGTGCACTGAACTGGGGGTCCTCGCGGCCGACAGGTTGAGAAACACCGTTATACTGGATAAGCGGTTACATTTTCACCAAAATTAGAGTTTTCTGCAGCTCAACGGATGGAGTTTATTAAGCAAGTTGTCTGCCTCGTCGTTTACTTCTCTTTGTTGAATGCTGCTGTATCTCAAGCACATATAAAAGAAATTAGATCAGCCAAACAGAGATCATTTTAAAACAGCATGTGATTAAACTCAACTATACGAGTTGAAAATTCTCGATCTGCTCTGTCGGTCATGTTACTGTACAAATTGTAATACACACATCACCCACCAGAGGGAAACAAAGCACACCATTACTGAAGCGATGAGTCACTGGTGCGTGAAAACCCTGGCAGAGTTAACGATCATTTTGTAGTGAGCCTTCGGGTCTCCAAGATCAAAATCAAAACGCGTTATGCATTGTGTCTGATCCCCTGCCACAGCAAGCCAGCCTTAGAATTACGCTTCAAATTGCTAATAATCCCCGGAGCGGTACATATTTAGTTCTCTCCTTGAATACTGATTTTTTTTCATACCTCATAATAATAGCTATGTAGTTTTTCTCTATTCATAATTCACAAGAACAGCCAAGCAGTCCAAGCAATTTCTCGTCTCAGCTTGCCTTTAAAAATAGCCAAAAGCCTGGTTAGTTTTCCAGCTTACTTGAAGAGCGCAGAACCCAACCAAATGGACCTCAGCCAAGCCTATCCCAACTGAACGTAGCTTTTCTACTACACCTACAGAGAATTTCTGCAGGGACCTTCTAATTCCCAGAATGCAGTTTCAAGAATCATGCATGTATGACTGATCAGCTGATACCAGCTTCATGAGAATCAATTCTCGCAGATAGTTTTTC